GAATGTTGCTGGAGGCCCTCATGAGTGTTGCTGGAGGCCCTCACGAGTGTTGTGGAGGGAAGAGGGTGAGGGTGAGAGCCAGGGCCAGCAGGCGGGCGGAGTGACCTCATACATAAAAGGTTCACCGGTTAGCGAAAAGTCGACAATTAATGTAACCGGAATTATACGGTAATTTATAAGACTTAATTCAGATTTAGTGTAATCTCCAACCCGGCCATCTCCCCCCCCCCTCTTCTTCATCTTGTCTTCCTCCTCCTCCTCCTCCTCCTCCACTTCTTATGCTTCTCTTACCCTCCCCCACCCCCCTTTTTTCTCATCCTCCCCCACTAGTACTCGCCCTCCCCTACTCTTGCCCTCCTCTTCCCTCTTCTCATTTCTCCTCTCTACTTTCCTTATCTTCCTAACGCCTCACTTCCCTTACCTTCCTCCTACCTACTCCTATTCCCTTATATTCCTGCCTCTACCGACACCTCTACATCCCAACTCTCCACTACTGATGCTCGCATCTCTCCACACTAATTTCAGATACTAAGATCTTATCTTAGCTGGATGCTGGAGGGTTAATAATGCTACCCCTCCTATATTAGAGACGTGTGCAGGTAACAAGGCTCAATATACCGGACAAATAACGGTAAGGTGCGCGGCTTGGGAGTACCCAAGTCGAGGGTTCGAGTCCCGCTCATTGCTCAAGTTGATTTTGTGGTATCCGGAGTGGTTTGTAACACCCGTAAAATAAAAATCGAATAAATTGACACAGGACACTATAACGTATTTAACATTAAAAAGAACCATAAAATCCTCATTGACATGAAAACACACACAACCCATCTTCTGTTTAGATACTAATTTTTGTAACTATGCGAAGTGCGCCATCGTACATAGACGTTTTTGGGGAATTCGAATTTGGTGCATTCGTTAAAACAAATTTAACCATTTCCAGGCCTCGTATAGCACATATTTGTACTATATTAAGCCTCAGATAGTGTGTTTTAGGCCTAGGGAGGTTAGATTAAGTTTTCCTTGGACTATCAGTACAAAACCCTTTCCGGTATTCAGTAGTACCGATTTCTACTTTCTAATTGGCATTTACGTCATTATATGTATGATGGTTCTCATTGTTACTATAAGTACTTCCTTAACAGGAAGACACGACACACACACACACACACACACACACACACACACACACACACCAAAGAACCAACAAGAATGAGAGGAGAAGATGAACTAGCAATGCTTGATTTGATATTTACCCTAAATGAATGGGATACAAGGGAAGTTAAGATGGAAGCGCCCTTGGGAATGAGTGACCACAGTGTATTGAACTTTGAGTACTTGGTAGAGCTAGGACTTATCTCCCCCAAAAAAGAACTAGGAATCAAAAGGCTGGCATACCGAAAGGGGAATTATGAACAGATGAGAAGTTTCCTAAGTGAAATACCTTGGGACACAAACCTCAGAGACAAGTCTGTACAGGGTATGATGGACTATGTTACCCAAAAGTGTCAGGAGGCAGTAAACAGGTTCATCCCGGCCCAAAGGGAAAAATCCGAGAAGCAACAGAAGAATCCATGGTATAATAGGGCATGTATCGAAGCGAAGAAACTGAACAAAAAGGCGTGGAGGAACTTCCGGAATAACAGAACACCAGAAAGCAGAGAGAGATACCAGAGAACCAGGAATGAGTACGTCAGGGTGAGAAGAGAAGCAGAGAAAAATTTTGAAAATGATATAGCAAACAAAGCCAAGACTGAACCAAAGCTACTCCACAGTCACATCAGAAGGAAAACAACAGTGAAAGAACAGGTACTGAAACTTAGAACAGGCGAGGACAGGTATACAGAGAATGACAGAGAGGTGTGTGAGGAACTCAACAAGAGGTTCCAGGAGGTCTTCACAATAGAACAGGGTGAGGTCACTGTGCTAGGAGAAAGGGAGGTAAACCAGGCGGCCTTGGAGGAGTTCGAAATTACGAGAGAGGAGGTCAAGAGACACCTGCTGGATCTGGATGTTAGAAAGGCTGTTGGTCCAGATGGGATCTCACCATGGGTACTGAAAGAGTGTGCAGAGGCACTTTGCTTGCCACTCTCCATAGTGTATAGTAAGTCACTGGAGACGGGAGACCTACCAGAAATATGGAAGACGGCGAATGTGGTCCCAATATACAAAAAGGGCGACAGACAAGAGGCACTGAACTACAGGCCAGTGTCCTTGACTTGTATACCATGCAAGGTGATGGAGAAGATCGTGAGAAAAAACCTGGTAACACATCTGGAGAGAAGGGACTTCGTGACACATCGCCAACATGGATTCAGAGAGGGTAAATCTTGCCTTACAGGCTTGATAGAATTCTACGATCAGGTGACACAGATTAAGCAAGAAAGAGAGGGCTGGGCTTACTGCATTTTCTTGGATTGTCGGAAAGCCTTTCACACAGTACCGCATAAGAGGCTGGTACATAAGCTGGAGAGACAGGCAGGTGTAGCTGGTAAGGTGCTCCAGTGGATAAGGGAGTATCTAAGCAATAGGAAGCAGAGAGTTACGGTGAGGGGTGAGACCTCCGATTGGCGTGAAGTCACCAGTGGAGTCCCACAGGGCTCTGTACTCGGTCCTATCTTGTTTCTGATATATGTAAATGATCTCCCGGAGGGTATCGATTCATTTCTTTCAATGTTTGCGGACGATGCTAAAATTATGAGAAGGATTAAAACAGAAGAGGACTGTTTGAGGCTTCAAGAAGACCTAGACAAGCTGAAGGAATGGTCGAACAAATGGTTGTTAGAGTTTAACCCAACCAAATGTAATGTAATGAAGATAGGTGTAGGGAGCAGGAGGCCAGATACAAGGTATCATCTGGGAGAGGAAATTCTTCAGGAGTCAGAGAAGGAAAAAGACTTGGGGGTTGATATCACGCCAGACCTGTCTCCTGCAGCACATATCAAGCGGATAACATCAGCGGCATATGCCAGGCTGGCCAACATACGAACGGCATTCAGAAACTTGTGGAAAGAATCATTCAGAACTTTGTATACCACATATGTCAGGCCAATCCTGGAGTATGCAGCCCCAGCATGGAGTCCATATCTAGTCAAGGATAAGACTAAACTGGAAAAGGTTCAAAGGTTTGCCACCAGACTAGTACCCGAGCTGAGAGGTATGAGCTACGAGGAGAGACTACGGGAATTAAACCTCACTTCGCTGGAAGACAGAAGAGTTAGGGGGACATGATCACCACATTCAAGATTCTGAAGGGGATTGATAGGGTAGATAAAGACAGTCTATTTAACACAAGGGGAACACGCACAAGGGGACACAGGTGGAAACTGAGTGCCCAAATGAGCCACAGAGATATTAGAAAGAACTTTTTAGTGTCAGAGTAGTTGACAAATGGAATGCATTAGGGGTGATGTGGTGGAGGCTGACTCCATACACAGTTTCAAGTGTAGATATGACAGAGCCCGATAGGCTCAGGAATCTGTACACCTGTTGATTGACGGTTGAGAGGCGGGACCAAAGAGCCAGAGCTCAACCCCCGCAAACACAACTAGGTGAGTACAACTAGGTGAGTACACACACTGTGGGACCCAGTGGAGTCCCACAGGGATCAGTCCTTGGACCTATACTGTTTCTGATATACGTAAATGATCTCCCAGAAGGAATAGACTCGTTCTTCTCAATGTTTGCTGATGATGCAAAAATTATGAGGAGAATCAAGACAGAGGAAGATAGTATGAGGCTACAAGATGACCTAGACATCTGAAGAAATGGTCCAACAAATGGCTAGTAAAGTTCAACCCAAGCAAATGTAAGGTAATGAAACTAGGAGGAGGAAACTGAGTACCCACATGAGCCACAGGGACGTTACAAAGAACTTTTTCAGTGTCAGAGTAGTTAACAAATGTGATGCATTAGGCAGTGTTGTGGTGGAGGCTGACTCCATACACAGTTTCAAATGTAGATATGATAGAGCCCAGTAGGCTCAGGAATCTGTACACCTGTTGATTGACGGATGAGAGGCGGGGCCAAAGAGCCAGAGCTCAACCCTCGCAAACACAACTTGGTGAATACAACGAGTACACACACACACACATACACACACACATACACACACACACACACACACCCACACACACACACACACACCCACCCACCCACCCACACACATACACACACATACACCTCACTTCGCTGGAAGACAGAAGAGTTAGGGGGGACATGATCACCACATTCAAGATTCTGAAGGGGATTGATAGGGTAGATAAAGACAGTCTATTTAACACAAGGGGAACACGCACAAGGGGACACAGGTGGAAACTGAGTGCCCAAATGAGCCACAGAGATATTAGAAAGAACTTTTTTAGTGTCAGAGTGGTTGACAAATGGAATGCATTAGGGGGTGATGTGGTGGAGGCTGACTCCATACACAGTTTCAAGTGTAGATATGATAGAGCCCGATAGGCTCAGGAATCTGTACACCTGTTGATTGACGGTTGAGAGGCGGGACCAAAGAGCCAGAGCTCAACCCCCGCAAACACAACTAGGTGAGTACAACTAGGTGAGTACACACACACACACACACACACACACACACACACACACCCACACACACACACACACACACACACGGAGGTAGCAAGAAGGATGAGGGTGAGGCGTAGTGTGTTGGGAGCGGATGCGGGAGGGGCCTTAACTATAGCTTTTTCATTAATGATGTCCCCTAATGACCCCCATTACCATAATTAAGACAATCAGACTAGGAGCGCATTGCACAACATGGCGGCTCGGGGGGGGGGGGGCCGACACTGGCACCCAAATTTGTGAGATTCTGAGTCCTAACTTTGTCTCTTACAACTCTAAACATACGCCACCAAACATGATACACCTGACACCATACATGATACACCTGACACCATACGGGATACACCTGACACCATACGTGATACACCTGACACCATACGTGATACACCTGACACCATACGTGATACACCTGACACCATAAGTGATACACCTGACACCATAAATGATACACCTGACACCATACGTGATACACCTGACACCATACGTGATACACCTGACACCATACGTGATACACCTGACACCATACGTGATACACCTGACACCATACGTGATACACCTGACACCATACGTGATACACCTGACACCATACGTGATACACCTGACACCATACGTGATACACCTGACACCATACGTGATACACCTGACACCATACGTGATACACCTGACACCATACGTGATACACCTGACACCATACGTGATACACCTGACACCATACATGATACACCTGACACCATACATGATACACCTGACACCATACGTGATACACCTGACACCATACGTGATACACCTGACACCATACGTGATACACCTGACACCATACGTGATACACCTGACACCATACGTGATACACCTGACACCATACGTGATACACCTGACACCATACGTGATACACCTGACACCATACGTGATACACCTGACACCATACATGATACACCTGACACCATAAATGATACACCTGACACCATACGTGATACACCTGACACCATACGTGATACACCTGACACCATACGTGATACACCTGACACCATACGTGATACACCTGACACCATACATGATACACCTGACACCATACGTGATACACCTGACACCATACGTGATACACCTGACACCATACGTGATACACCAAACATACTACAACTAGCACCAACGTACAGCTAATACAAGTGTCGCTATACAGCGGCAGTCGGTTTACGAAGCCAGCTCGGGGTATATTTAATATGCAATTAATAAGGACTCTAATTTGAAACGCGTAATTGGCAGTTGACTGTTGCCGTAATGGGCTAATATTATCGAGTGACTGTAATTAGCATATCCCGCTTATGGGCCAAGGATTTTGTAATTATCCATCTACATATCCACCTCTCGATATCCCCCCTCTTTTTATATAGCCATCCCTACATATAGCCAAACCTCCACATAATCATCGTTCCATATAATCATTCCTCTATATAACGATCCTATATAGTCATCTATATTATTACTGTTAAACGTTCGAGACGTTCACCTAGCACGCCCACGACGTTCAAGCTCTTCACCTAGCACGCTCACGACGTTCAAGCTCTTCACCTAGCACGCTCACGACGTCCCAGACCTTCACCCAGCACGCCCACGAGGTCCAAGATCTTCACCTAGCACGCCCACGACGTTCAGGCCCTTCACCTAGCACGCCCACGACGTTCGAGACGTTCACCTAGCACGCCCACGACGTTCAAGCCCTTCACCTAGCACGCCCACGACGTCCCAGACCTTCACCCAGCACGCCCACGAGGTCCCAGATCTTCACCCAGCACGCCCACGACGTCCAAGACCTTCACCCAGCACGCCCACGAGGTCCCAGATCTTCACCCAGCACGCCCACGACGTCCAAGACCTTCACCCAGCACGCCCACGAGGTCCACGATCTTCACCGAGCACGCCCACGACGTCCAAGACCTTCACCCAGCACGCCCACGACGTCCCAGACCTTCACCCAGCACGCCCACGAGGTCCAAGATCTTCACCTAGCACGCCCACGACGTCCAAGACCTTCATCTAGCACGCCCACGAGGTCCAAGACCTTCACCTAGCACGCCCACGAGGTCCAAGACCTTCACCTAGCACGCCCACGACGTCCAAGACCTTCACCTAGCACGCCCACGACGTCCAAGACCTTCACCCAGCACGCCCACGACGTCCCAGACCTTCACCTAGCACGCCCACGACGTCCAAGACCTTCACCTAGCACGCCCACGAGGTCCAAGACCTTCACCTAGCACGCTCACGACGTCCAAGACCTTCACCTAGCACGCCCACGACGTCCAAGACCTTCACCTAGCACGCCCACGACGTCCCAGACCTTCACCTAGCGCGCCCACGACGTCCAAGACCTTCAGCTAGCACGCTCACGACGTCCAAGACCTTCACCTAGCACGCCCACGAGGTCCAAGACCTTCACCTAGCACGCCCACGACGTCCAAGACCTTCACCTAGCACGCCCACGACGTCCAAGACCTTCACCTAGCACGCCCACGACGTCCCAGACCTTCACCTAGCGCGCCCACGACGTCCAAGACCTTCAGCTAGCACGCTCACGACGTCCAAGACCTTCACCTAGCACGCCCACGACGTCCAAGACCTTCACCTAGCACGCCCACGACGTCCAAGACCTTCACCTAGCACGCCCACGACGTCCAAGACCTTCACCTAGCACGCCCACGACGTCCAAGACCTTCACCTAGCACGCCCACGACGTCCAAGACCTTCACCTAGCACGCCCACGACGTCCAAGACCTTCACCTAGCACGCCCACGACGTTCAAGACCTTCACCTAGCACGCCCACGACGTCCCAGACCTTCACCTAGCAGACTGCAAGACCTTCATATCGTGTGTTAGGACCTAGGAAGGTTAGCTTAGGTAAGTTTAGTTTGTCAAAGCAACACAAGTATAAAAAATAGTTTTCCGGTTTGTCCAACTCAATAGTTCATATTTCTACTTTCTAATTTCTTTGTAGGTGGGTATATATACTATATATACTATGGTGCTCATCGTTACTATACGTTACTATACTATACGGAGCCGGTCGGCCGAGTGGACAGCACGCTGGGCTTGTGATCCTGTGGTCCTGGGTTCGATCCCAGGCACCGGCGAGAAACAATGGGCAGAGTTTCTTTCACCCTATGCCCCTGTTACCTAGCAGTAAATAGGTACCTGGATGTTAGTCAGCTGTCACGGGCTGCTTCCTGGGGGTGGAGGCCTGGTCGAGGACCGGGCCGCGAGGACACTAAAAGCCCCGAAATCATCTCAAGATAACCTCAAGATAACGTCCTAACACAACAGGAGGACGGGCTGACATTTAACACTGATTTTACAACATTTTTTCAGTCGCAGAATGGTATAGGTTAAGTAATAATTGTAAATAAGAAGCAATACGATGCTTATCTTAACATACTAAGAAGGTTAGGTGAGGTCGGTGTTTTCTATGAAGCTTTTCAAGGTAAACTTAAATATTCACAATCAATTAGTATGTCACATATGCACTTATTAAATAAGCCAATATAGACAGCAAGCAAGTGCGAGAACGGGTTACTGAACTATTTATTTGCCTTCACAGTTTTTTTATTTATATATATTTTTAGAGGGGAATAGTCTCACACTGTTATTATGCACTGCGCATGTGCAGTGCTCAAGCTACTGCTCTGGCGGGAGTTTCGAATGTTTCCCCCCCTCCTCCCCCTTCAACCCAACACAGTTTCACTGTTCACTGTCAGCTATACCAACACAGTTTCACTGTTCACTGTCAACTATACCAACACAGTTTCACTGTTCACTGTCAACTATACCAACACAGTTTCACTGTTCACTGTCAACTATACCAACACAGTTTCACTGTTCACTGTCAACTATACCAACACAGTTTCACTGTTCACTGTCAGCTATACCAACACAGTTTCACACATGCCTTACAAACAGGACCCCTGTCTTAGAATTTAATTTAGAACAGTTTGCAAAGAGAAGTTAGTATGCTTTAGTAGCGATAGTTATCGATATGAACAAGTGGTCGTTAAAGCACAGAGGATTCCAAATGACAAGGTGTATATTATTTGCTGGTTTGCATGGTAAACGCATGGCCTCGTCTTTGGTAGAAAATAGACACAATTTTCACAAATTTGAGACGAGAGCAGTTAAAGGGCATTATTAATAAACAAGTTGTTTAAGGGTGTGAAATACATCACTGGACAGGGAATGTATCTTTTAAGAAATGCATGAAAGAGGATACATAGGTTCGAAGATATAAGGTGGAGTGGAAGATGCTGCGATGCTCTACGCTCGTCCGCATCTCCACAATTTAGAGATTCTAGGAAACCTGCGCCAGGATCCATCAAACATTTAAGTTTTCAATACGAAACCTGTACATCTTTTTTAAACCTTTCATGAGAAATCTTTTCATGATAGGGGGCCTGACAGTTGAGTGGACAGCGCCCGGGATTCGAAGTCCTAAGGTTCAGGGTTCGATTCCCGGTGGAGGCGAAAACAAATGGGCAGTCTTTTTAACCCTGATGCACCTGTTCACCTAGCAATAAATAGGTACCTGGGAGTTAGACAGCTGCAATGAGCGGCTTCCTGGGGATATGTAACAAAAAGGAGGCCTGGTTGAAGACCGGGCCTCGGAGACACTAAGTCCCGAAATAATCTCCAGATAACTTCAAGAATCTTTCCTAAAAATCATGGCAGCTTTGTTTGAATTTATGAAATGGTTTAAAAACTCAGAAGCGCTTCCAGGTTGTCTGAATAAATAGTATATTGGGTTGTAAATTTTTCAAGACCTTAAATTGTTTAATAAATACAGACGTCATGACCGAGGAAAGATGTACAAGTTTCGTAGCTGGACACGTAATTGCTTGTTAACCCTGCCCCTACACACAGGAAGATGAGAGAACTGAACAGATATATTAGATGAGCATCACATCTGTTCAGCACGTCGCTCATAAGGAGTTATGATTCAGCACAGTGTAAGACGAGCCCCTTGTCACCTTAAGGATGAGTGAGACAACAAACTTACGCATGATTCCAGTTGCAAGTTTGTTATCACAGTGGTCTACGTTCTCGACTCACAATCGTGGGACCCAGATTCAATTCAAGCAAGATTGCTTGCAGGGCAAGATTCGTGCCCTGCTTTCCGGGCAGGAAAGAAACGGGTTGCAATGTTTTTATTCACCTGATGCCTCTGTTTACCTTGTAGTTAAATAGGTACCCGGAAGTTAGGGAACTGATGTGGATTGCATACTGGGAAAGGTCAGTAGCAGGCTTAGGGTGACCTCGATAAGCCCAAGTACGGGCTTTCTGTTCCTAACAATGGGAATTATAACTAATGAGACATATGTGAGGAAAGACTAAGAGCTGGCATATGAGAGCGGAGTGCAGGAACGACGCCCAACCACCTGGACCAACGGGGATCGAACTCCGACGCTGCAAGCCGTCGCAGACGACTCCACATGAGCATGCTTCGTTATGAAGGTGAAGCGGATGCGCCTAGTGACCGTCTAGTGACTGGAAGCCACCAGACATGGCAACTTTACCGTCCGTCTGGCAGTAAGCGAGCCGACAAAGTCTGGCAGTAAGCGAGCCGACAAAGTCTGGCAGTAAGCGAGCCGACAAAGTCTGGCAGTAAGCGAGCCGACAAAGTCTGGCAGTAAGCGAGCCGACAAAGTCTGGCAGTAAGCGAGCCGGCAAAGTCTGGCAGTAAGCGAGCCGGCAAAGACTGATATTATTCCGGCTCACCAAATCCTAAGAAATTCAGAGTAACGCCAACTGAAGGCACGGTGATGTCAACCATTTTGTGATAAAAATGAATGTATTTTGTAGAGTTACGTAGAGAAGAGGAAGAGCTGTCAGTAGAGCGCCTTACTGCGATGCACTAAAGAGCCACCGTAATCAGAGAGTTGCTCTCAAAAGGGATTTGACTTCAACGCAACAATGACCGTCCTCTATTGGGACAGTTAACACCATACAAGATCTGGATTTTGTCTTCTATTGGGACAGTTAACACCATACAAGATCTGGATTTTGAAGTGGTACACCCCCCCCCCCTCGCCTGTTCTCCTGACTTGGTTCTAAGTGACTTGTACCATCGTTTTGGTACCATCTTGGTACCATGTGATGGTACAAGTGACTTGTACCATCAATCAAAAAGGCTTCAAATGTAGACCTATCCTCCTGTTGTTTTAGATTTAGCTACCCAGAACGAATTGTCCATGTAGCACGGGCTATGGTGAGCCCGTAACCTATCCTCCGTTGATGACGGACCCGAGGAGCGCCTTCTGCCTCACTTAGCGGACAGAGAAAGCTTCCCGGGTATAAGTACCCCCAAGGAACCTGTGTATTCAACAGCACATAACAGTGACATATTGGGTTGTTTAACCAATTTCTTGTTTAACTTTTTTTTCATTTAAAGTGCTTTTGCTGATATCCATTGACCAATAAATGTCATTATGAGGGATAGCAATGTCCTATAAATAATATAGGCTAGTTACTGCAGGCGATGAGTCATAATAACGTGGCTAAAGCATATTGACCAGACCATACACTTAGAAGGTGAAGGGACGACGACGTTTCGGTCCGTCCTGGACCATATTGACGGACCGAAACGTCGTCGTCCCTTCACCTTCTAAGTGTGTGGTCTGGTCAACATAGGCTAGTTACTGTCCAATGAACAGAATAGTAGATGTTTTGTTTGTTGTTTAAGATTCGCTACCTGGAACAAAAAGTTCCAAGTAGCACGGGCTATGGTGAGCCCGTAGTGGACTCTTTTTTTTTATAGTAGATGTTCAATGGCCAGAACATGCGATGTTCTATAAACACACCAGAAGCCATATGAACAAAATAGAGGATCAGTTTGATAATAAAGAGTGTACACTAAGAGAGGACCTCTAGAGTCCATGCACCAAGAACCAAACTCAACCTCAAGTGCCACTTCCAAAAAACACAAAGCAAATTCTCAAACACATATAAAGCAAATAAAGCAAATCTCTATTCACAAAATAACTCTGGCTGGATGA